CCGGGAAACCCCCAGGGACTTGCCTAGATTGTTTGTGGGCACAGCTGGTGCGTCTCATGAGCCTCGCATCCTGCTCCAGTCTTAGGGATTTAGGGTCTGAGAATTTGGGTTTTAGTAAGCAGAGGCGGTCCTATCTTTCTCTGATATGTGATTATATACAAAATTCATGAATAACTAGGTATGTGTGTGTATATATACATATATGTACGATACATGTATGTATGTATGTATGTATGTATGTATGTATGTGCGCGTGCCTTTGGATTTGCGGTTTTGCCTGTCTGACATGTCAACTGCTTTTACTTTTGCAGTCATGCTCAATCGCGTTCAGTCATGTCAGTGAAGCTTGAGTGACAGTCGAACACATGTTTACAGTGCAAGATTTGGGCTGAAGCTTGAAGGCGAAAATTTGAAGGGGGCCGTTTCACTTTCGGTTTCACAACATGTTTCCCTTCGCGCCTTACTTGCCGCGTCTCCTGCAGGGAGGGCAGAGCCAGAGCGAGTCTCAGCCTATGCCTATCGGCATCGTGCCGCAGGCTGCCTATATAGTCATGCCCATTGCGATGGGCGATGTCGAGAGGCGTCCCGCCTTACGCGAGGCTCCTAGACGCAGCGGACGCAGTGACCGTGATGCTCGGGGACGTAGCGACAGCCGTAGTCGCAGCCGAAGTCCGATTACGCCGCGTGGGGGGCGTCCTGCAAGTGGTGATCACCGCCGGCACAATGAGCGGGCTGATTCTTGGCGCGGCCGCCGTGACAACCAAGGCCATTGGGATCACAGCCGGCAGAGGCTGGGATGATCGCCGTGAGGGCGATAGCTTTTGGCAGCACCAGGGATGGTCGGGGCGTACTCCGTCCTGGTGGCAGCAAGCTTCCTCTTGAACAAATAATTCATGGCAGCGGCCATCCTGGGGCCGTGGCAGCGGCAGGGGCAAAGGACAGGGCAAAGGACGTGGCCGTGGCCGCGGCCAAGGCCGCGGCAAGTCTTGGATCCAGGGCAAGCAATGGAGTTCCCAACAATCCACCGAAGGCCCCGACGACGATTGGGGCACTTGGAAAAGCAGTCATGCTGGACCTCCTGGTGCCAGTGCAAAGGCCCCTCCTACCACTAGACGAGATGAAGAGACATCGGAGGCACCAGAGCGGGAGCCCGCGCCTGCCATTACTATTTCCCTTGACGAGGACGACGATACCTGGCAGGAGGCTATCAACAATGCCTTGGCCGACCCGGACCGTGTCCCTGCGGTGAATGAGGCTTGAGCTTCAGGAGAAATCACCACCATTGCCCCGCCGATGATGCTGTCGAGGCTGCGGCAGAGAATTTTACATCTCTGCATCGGTCCCTCCGGGACCTGCCGAAAAGCGCGGCCCTTCGCCTCTTTCGGGCCTTCGCCATGGCTGATGTGGAGCCTGACCCCGAGATCCTTGAGTGGGAAGGTGTTGGCTGGAAAGCCACCTTTATTCCCCTCATTGTCAAGCCCCACATCTACTACAAGGATGCTGCTGCAGATGGTGCCCTCAGCTACCTTACTTGGGGGCACGGCACTGATTGGAAGTCCCTGCCCTACATCCTTCGGGAGGGTTTGGTTCGCCCTCAGTCGTGGGAGAGGCAGCTTGCCTAGCAGTGGCTTCTTCGCCCAAGCCTTCAATCAAGCTTGGTCCGACTACGCCATCAAGCACTGTGTTCGCAGGGCGCTAGCAATTCCCAAACCCCAGCAATGTCCAATCATTTTGGGACAGGCTGTCACCCCGTTGCAGCCTGCTGTGATTTCGGGCCGTGGCAATTGGCGGCAACATGCTGCCTGCCGAGTTGCTGGGGCTTCTCGCTCTTCAGAAGCCTATTGTGTAAAGAGCTGTCTTGCCAAGCTGGAGGGAGTGGCTGTTGTCATGCCATTCTAGCCGCTTCGCCGAGCTCACGCGCTCTTCCAGCAAAAAGTCGATGCGTGCTTCTTCGCTGTGTCGTCTTGTTTCGGTGCTGCGTTTCAAGTTCTTGCTTGCATGTTTGTGGGCTCAACACGCATGCCTTATTCATTTTCAGGATCACAGCAAAGCCCGCGCCTTAGCAGGGGGTACCTTGGCTCACATGGATGCGTTAGAGGAGCTTGAAGCTGAAGCTTTTCAAGGAGCGCCCCCTGAACCTTCCCTCGCCCCAAGCGAGGGCTCCCCTGTCGAAGACAGCACTCCAGTCCAAGCAAGTGATCCCAACGGGCCTTCCGTTGGGCCTGTGGCCGCAGGGGCCCTTTGCTCTCGAGCAAGCTGCTGCAGCCGCTGCCCAAGCAGCAGCACCAACAAGAATTTTGAGCTCCTTTGAGTGTGCTCAAGCCCTGGCATCTGCTGTGGACAGATGCAGCAAGAAACGAAAGCTTTCCCTGCCTTGGGAAACTGACACAATGGCCAGCATTTTTGGTCACAGTTTTGATTTCGCGCAGCTGTCTGCGCCTTCAATTCCAAGTTCACTTATACCAGAGAATTTCTTGAAGACCGCAGCGTCTTCCAGCAGCTCAGCTGCTCCTTCGGCCTCGTGGCAAGGTACTCTACAAAGGCACAGTTCTTGCGCGCAGCTAGTCAAGGCAAGACCGGACAAGTCCTTTATCCAACTGGATGATGACAAAAGAACCAAAGCCCTCTTTATTTGGGCTGAGTTCCTCAGCCCCATTCTTGCCAGCTGCCTTGTTGGTCGCATGATTTTATGCCACAGTTCCGAAGGGACTCGTGCCGAGAAGGTGATTGAGAACCTTAATGCAATTTTTGGCCGCAAGGCGGCAAGTACTATCTATAGCAGAGCCTTGGCTGCCATTCGTTACCAGCACTTTTGCACCTCCTTCCCTATGAGCGAGCTTCTCTGCTGGAGATATGTTAACCAACTTGCCACAGGCAAGCCCACAGCAGCATCGTCTTTTCTGAGGTTGTGCGTTTTTCTGCATTACACGTTGGGGCCAGATGGCTCCGAGGAAGTCATTAACAGTGCCCGTTTATCTGGGCAGGCTGCTCTTGCCCTCAACCGCAAGGCCCCAACCAAGCAAGCCCCGCCCTTCTCGGTCAGCATGGTGAGAACTTTGCATGCCATCTTGAAGGACAACTCGCGGTCCCCATTCGACCGCCTCGCTGCAGGGTCTTTTCTGTGCGCAATCTATGGTAGGTGTCGCTGGAGCGACCTGCGACACATTGAAACCATCGTTCTTGATATCGCCTCTGGGCGCCGTCATGGCTTTGTCGAAATCTTAACTAAGCACCACAAGACTGCTAAGAAGGACGCCGCGGAGTTGCTGCCAATTGTTGCCCCGGCCTTTGGTATTACAGGTGATTGCTGGGCTCTGACTTTCGTCAATCTTCGTAACGAGCTGCTCGGTGAACGAGCATCTCTGCCGGGACCTCTGCTTCCAGCCGTGTCCTCGGAGCAGCCCCTGGTATTCCTGCAGCGCCCTCTGGAGGCCGATGAAGCGACATCTTTTCTGCAGTTTCTTCTTGCCCAGTTTCCCGACATCAAGCAATGGACCTCGCACAGCTGCAAGGAAACCCCGCTCTCGTGGCTTGCTAAGGCTGGTGCCGATAAGTCCACTCTGGACTTTATGGGCAGACACGTTGGATCCATTACTTCCAGTGACATTTACGCCCGAGGTATGCAAAGCAGGCCCCTCAGGAAGCTAGTCATCACCATCAAGATGATCTATGTTGGAACCTTCGATCCTGACGCTACCCGCAGTGGTATGTTTCTGCACGACAATCCCCAGGCCTCTGCCCCTTCGGCCGTGCGCTCAGAAAGCTCCCTCAGTGGAGGCATTGGTTCCCCCCACCCCAAGAACCCGCAACGGCTGTCGCTAGTCCCTTGCCGCCCGCCCCGTCCCCTCCACCCTCTGAGCCAGGGTCAGCAGAGGAGCAGGAACAGAACAGTCAGCAGGCTTCCAAGGCCTCCAGCGACTCCGAGTCATCCTCGTCCTCTTCCGCCTCCAGCAGCATTCGCCCTCAGATCGCAGTACCTAGAGGACAGCCGCCACATGCGCAAGCCTTTGTGCGCCCGAAGGGTAAGGTTCACTTACGGGCAACACCTGAGGCCACCCGCTTCAAGTGCGGGCGCGTAATAACTAACGTTTTTGTTCCGGTCGACGCTGACTCTTACATGAGATCAGCTTTATGCGGGCAATGTGAGCCCACGGCTTTCCCAATCAAGACTACTTCTGACATGTTGGCTGCCTTGGACGCAGCACTGAAGCGCCGCAAAGACTAGTAAAAGATCTGTGCGCCTGCAGCCAAACACAAAAGCTCTGTGCGCCTGCAGCTACACACCGCCCTGCAGACCTGTAGGTCACACGTTTGCAGCTTTATCGTGAATTTTGCAGTTTTGCCCGAGCCCTTCAAAGTTTCACTTTCAGCCATGGCGTCTCTTCTTGATTCAGAAGCTCAGTTTCGTCAGCGAGCCTCGGAGCTCGGCATAGCAGATGCCACCATACAAACCCTCGTGGGAAAAGGCCTCTCCAAAAAGGCCGCTTGAGTTGAGTGAGTGCGAGATTATAGAGTATAGTACTATAGGGTGATGACGGGGTTTCGCAGGATGTTGCTGTGCATAGATTGGGGGGGGCCATGAAGTTAAAGTTTCCTCGCGTTTCACCCCAGTTACCGCTCCGAAGCCAGAATCAGATTCCCGGATCCAGAAATTAATGTTGGCTCACTCAGCTCTCGCGAGGAGAACAGTGTATTTCTTGATTTGTCTCTGCCTCTGCGTTTCGATTGGATTTGCGAAGCATGCTGCGCTGGGTGCTTGTGTGGTTTTTGCCGATGGCTTGCGCGGACGTATTGGAGGTGTGGCCCGTTGGCAAAACCAGCTTCCTCCCTGACATATGCGCCGTGGATACAGGAAGCCGTGGACGCTCTCACAAAGCAGCATCCTGAGGTTTGCCGGCGTGTCACTAAGCCCGCTAGACCAGAAGGGATCAGCAATGCAGTGTTGCAGTCAGGTGGCCGTTTGGACCCTGCGCCAGTTGACCAAGGACCAATCGTAATGGGCAGTGCAAGAAGTCTGGTACAGTAGTAACCCGGTAGCTTGAGCTTGAAATGTTCTCAGTGTCTTGGCGGATGGTTGGTTGGTTTGTGCGACATCGTACGTAGCGACGTAGCGCTGCAAGCATCTCGTCTTCAAGGTGTTGTGTTCACCAAAACAGCGTGGTAGAGCACGAAGTGACGCTGGGTTGCCCGGAGCGAAGCGCAGCGCTTGAAGCGTCCCGTGTCGGAGTGTACCGTGCATGCGCTTCGCGTGTCATCCCTGCCCCCTAATATTAAACCCCCCCCCCGCCCCCTAATATTAAAACTCGGATCCTGGGGTTTGGTTTTAATATTAGGGGGGTTTCGGGGTCACACACCATGACCGCTGCCCCACCCTGAAGCCCTAAACCTTAAGCCCTTAACCTCTAAGCTCTAAAGCCTAAAACCCGCAACCTTAAACCCTAGAGCCTGAATTAAGCCCTAAACACTTAAGCCCCAAAGCCTTAAGCCCTAAGCTTTAAGCCCTAAAGCCTTAAGCGCTAAAGTCTTTAGCCCTGAGCCCTTAACCCATAAAAACTCATACAAGTCTTAAGCCCTGAGCCCTTAACCCCTAATGCCCGGGTCCTTTTGGTTTAGTAGTACTGTAATCTTGGTTCTAGTAAAACTCATACAATCCCGAGGTCCCCCCTAATGTTTTTAATTAACTTTGAATTGCGGGCCCGGAGCCGCGGGGGCCGGGAGTTTATATTAGGGCTAGTAGGGGGGCCTTAGGAAAAAAAAAAGGAATGAGTTGCAGCTGATGGCTCCGGCTCTGCCCAGATCCTAAGGCTATAAGGCTAGGTCCCGGTAGGTCAACTAGCTAGCCGCCCCAGGAAGGACTGTAGCTGCAAACTACCACCTGCAGCTTGATGTACACTTGTACACTTGCTATGTGCTATATAGTCACTGCTTATTATAAGAAGTAAGGATGGTTGGCAGTTAGTCGTTGATCAAGATGACAGGATGTTTTGGCGAGAACCGGAATGGATGCCTGTGTTCGTGTCGCACTCTCAGACTCGTCAGTAATGTCCGCAAGTGTCTGCTGCGTGTAGAATGTGTAGATTACGTGTCTGTCGGCGATGCCGAGGACGTCTCGCAGGCGTGTCCGCAAGGCCACCCTGGCGTGGGCCAGGTCGTCTGTCATGCTGCCAGTGACGACCAAGTGTGTGTAACGATGTGCAGGTTGGTTAGAAATCTCGCCTGGCAGCACGTGCTTGGCGCCGGCCTGGCACCAGCCGACGCGGAGCTGCCCGAAGCAGCTATCGCTGGGTACAGCGATTGCTGCTGCTGAAGCAACCGTACTTGCTGAAGTCTGTGTAATTCCAAGCAGGTGGGCTGTCGGCCAGAGAAAAGATTGGTGCGACGGAACTCGAACGATTTGTGAGAAGATGCACGTGAAAATTTGTGAGACATTGCAACCGCGTGCAGTCTAAGCTGGCCTTGCTCTCAAGCGGCGTCTGGGCCGGGCCCAAGTCCTGCTGACTGGCCAGCTCCAACGCTGTCGTGCTTGCCTGATTTCGGTGCCATGCCACATCGTCGTTGGAAGTGTGGTCCCTCGTGGTGTCTTGTGCCGCTTGCAAGGTGTGTCGTGCCCGACAGGTGAGTTCTGAGTTCTGAGTCAGTGTTGTGTACATGCGAGTGCCGTTCTGTGGTGCGGTGTCGCGCGTTCAGGTTGGGAGCTGGGCGAACTGGGGCACTGCGAGGAGATGTCTTGAGTCTTGTCTTAGTCGATGTGAGACAGAACGATCCAATCTCCTGTCTTCCATTTCTAGGCTCCTGCAGGGTACACCGGACAGTGCCCCGTCCGGATGAAGTTAACGATGTTGAGCTCGCGCGAGAAAATGGTAATTGCACAGCGGTGTCATGTATTTTGGCCATGCCGCATCTTCTGAAGTCGACGAGTTAAGTGCAGTGTAATGATACTGCGCAACCAAGTTTGTCCTGACTCGACCGTCTCTTGGCGTGAGTGCCAGCCTAGGTCGGGTTGCGCTCCTACGTATCGAGTTCTCTGTGCTTGAGTGTTGCAGCTTTGCCTGGCTGCCGATGTCGAGTCTAGTGTAGGTTTAGATTTTCGCCTACCTGCTTGCAAGACGATCATTAGCGGGTCGCTGGGCAGTGCGGCGCGGAGCGAAGGGTAGCACCTTAAGATACCTTAAGCGTCTCGTGTTGGAATGTACCATATAGGTGTGCGAAGCATTTGAGCTTTGAATGTTGTTGCCCGCGTCTTTCATTCTGAGTAGGCCTGGAAATAGCAATCGTTTCAGCCGGTTCTATTTGCGCGGAGCTGTGTGCGCGGAAGAACGCGGAAGCTCTGCGGAAGCAACGCTCCGCGGAAGGTGCTGCGGAAGCTCCTTCTTAAGATACGTCATGCCCTAGATATCCCAAAGGCCATTCAGGGAGGATTGATTGCAGGCTCCAGAGTGGTGCACGTAAGCTTGCGTCCTTGTTGGTGGTTGAAGCTACACGCCTGGTCTGCCCAAACAAACAGCCTCCTCAGGACTCGAAACCGCACTTACAAAAGCAAGCCCCGCAAACTCAGCGAAACAACCGTTGCGGAAGGGGTCTGCGGAGGCGATGTGAAAGTTGAGGCTCGCGGAAGCCAAACCCTCGCGCGCGGAAGCAAGCGGAAGGGTCAACGCGAATAAAAACCACAGCTCATTTGTGTGCCTACTTCAACTTGTTGACGCAGCTTTGTTGCCCGCTGTCCTGACTGAAAGTAAAACCTGCTAAGCCTGTTCGTGCATGCGGTTTTACGTCGGCAGCTGCGTGTGTGTCATGACGTGTTGCAGCCCTGCGCTTTGATGATTGCTGCGTGATGCGTGTCCATGATGTGCGGGCCAGCAGGTGTTAGAGAGTGCTCTAGCGGTTGCCTACGGCCTGTGGCGCCGGACACTTGTTGTGGTGTGTGTCCTTCTTGATTTGCCCCGCCCGCCCGCCCTTGAGGTGGTGGGGGGCGGTGTGTGTCTTCCCATCCTTCCCCCATTCTGAAATGGACAACCCGTGCCAAGCATGGGTCCGTCCAACAGATTATTTTCCGTCCGCGCTGCCCCGCCCTAACCAGTCGTGCGACCGGGATCACTCACGCCATCCCGTGTGTAACACGATTACTAGCGTGCTAGCGCCCAACCTTGGTGCCATGGGGCTACGGGCGCCGAGTCTAGCAGAGGCGGAAGCGGCAGATGCAGAGCTGTGCCGGCAGCTTAAGCTGCTCATGTCAACCGTGGAGCGGCGTCACTCTGGACAAGGCCATCCACGAGGTCGTGATGGTGCGCAACTCCTTGCGCATGTGGGTTCAGCCCCGTGCCATCAGTGTGGTTTCTAAGGGAGACGGCATGCAAGGGCGGTGGCAAGCACGAGTCCGAGCGGCGCGGCAAACCGGGCAAGTGCCATGCATTCCAGAAGGGCAAGTGCCAGCGCGAGAACTGCAAGCTTGCGCACGAGTGCGAACATTGTGACAGCCCGGACCCTGGTAGGTGTGAGTGGCGTGGCTGTCTCGCGACGAAGATGCGCCGCCTCAACCCTGCAGTGCTCTGACGGCCGCCCCAATGCAAGTACCGCCCTGCTCCGAGGAGTTCGATGCGGAGATCTGCAGGAAGTACCGCCGTGTGCTGCTCAAAGACGGAGGCGGGGTGCAGAGCACCATTGACTGGCAGATCCCCCCGCGGGAGGCGCTTGCAGACCCTTTGGGACATGTGTGCCGTGCCGTACTTGCTAGCTGCTAGCTTGCCTGCCAACGCGTGCGAAAGAATACGGGGCATCTCACGTTTACGTGCAGTACAATCACTTTAGGCTACGCGTCCACTCTTGTTGTGAGTTTGCTTTCGTAGGCTTGCCTGAGTTCAGGACCAGTGTCAACATCACAAATTCGCAGCTGCTGCTGCTTGGAATTTCCGCCCGCCCGCCCCAGATGGGGTAGGGCAGGGAGCACGCCGCGGGCGTGCTGTGCGATATCTTGCTGCCCATGTGCAGCCATTGGGGGTGCCAGATTTGCAGGCAGGTGGGTCGTCTACCTGCCTGCAGGACCATCAAGCGAATCTGCTGCCAAAAGGAGTGTCTGTCCGCAGATTGACCGCGTTAGATTAAATTGATGGGGGTATGGAGGGCGTCCGTGTGGTCAAGGTCGGTATCTAACGTACACCCGAGGCTTTCTTGTCTGAGCTTTGAAAATGCGACATCCCTTTGATGAGTCGTCCACTTCGGATATGGGCA